GATCATCTCAGATTCAATCTCGTATCAAATTGTCTTTCCGGGTGGGAGGTGTTGCCATTTTGCTGTCGAACAAATCAACTGATCACTCTCAATCCAAGTATTGATTGGTCCATACTGTTAGAACCCACAAAGGTTCAGACGATAAATGCATGTGGAAGAGCATTGTTGGACGGCGACCGGAGATGGAGCTAAAATGATTTATTAGACCGTTGAAAACTCGAATCTTTTAAAGATACAACTTCTTTCAAGAATTTTTTCCAGAAAATCAGATTGTCAAAGATTCAAAAATCCTCCATTAATGGCAGAGGTTAATGGCTTTCTTCTTCAACAAAACCATATTCTACAATACACCGTTCTTGATTCCAAATCACTGCTCCTCTCCCAATTTTAGGATTCTAACCAACCACAATTACTGCAACTCACAACGGACAGCGTCGTTATGGAGAGAGGTCCCAGATATAAGGAATACTCGGATCACAGAGAAAAAAGACAAAGAAAAAGGGGCGTGACAGAACCGAAAATTCCGAGAAGATTTCAAGTTTCATGTCGAAAATTTCCAGAAGATTTCACCACACCACCAAAAAGGACTAAAGGGTCTTCAATTTTGACTCAATGTGTGCCGAATTTTGCAGAGAAAAAAGACCAAGAAAAAGGGCTTTTCAATTTTTCGGATTTCAATTGAGGGATGCGGGAGGTTTTTTGCTCAACGGATGTCGGCCCCTTCTTTTCACGGCGACCGGAGATGTTTGGTCACCGTCACCGTCGCCGTCGACGAGAGTGCGATGCGAAGATACCAGAGAGGTAGGGTTCGATTTTTGGGGAAGTTTCTTTTTTGCAGTGGTAGGGAAGGAAGACACCAGAGAGGCAGGGGCGGTTCCTGTTTAAAATGGGATTTTTTTTTTTTTTTTGAAATGCCACATCAGCCTTTTTTAACCCTGTTTTAAGCTCTTTTTTGGTGACATGGACATGATTAACTCCATTAGCACGCCACGTAGGATTACCGTTTGCCACGTGTGTTTTCCATCCATTTGGAGAGATGAGAGTTATATGAGTGGTGAATGGATAATTATATAGGAAGATGAGTGAGTATTGAGTAACACGTTAAAAATGAGTGAGTAAGATCATTGTACAAATTTCAACTTACTTTGCTCATTAAATTTACTCTTACACACCACAAATAAAACACGTTTTGATAAATACACTTACAAATACAACCTAAATACACTTTTCATACGTGCCTTTCTCAGTATTACCCTTTCCATTTCATCCTGCTCCCCATAGGGCATAGGCGGTATATATAGATACATATATGTATATATAGATACATATATATATATATGTATACATATATAGATATATCAATCTCTTGGAATTCTCAAACCTCAGATACTTTCAAGCCACAATGCTAAGCTCGATTTCTCCCGTGGGCCCATTATGGTTATGAATATTTGCCGCAGCTTCTACTTCTTCGTGCCTCTCCTCTTCAGTCAAGTGGGTCCTTCTCCCAAAGCAATGAAACAGCTTGTAGAGGCCAATTCCCATTAGAATTAAGACAGTCGCAAGAGTGATTTTAATTGAAAGAGAGATACGGATGACTGGTTGTTGGTTAGGCAAGTCCATGACTCTATAAATCGAGAATTATATAGTCAAAAATCAAACGAAGTATAACTTGACTTGTTAATTATAATCAATTGTAGATCGTGAATTCTTATTATCACATAAGAAAAGGCTAAACACAACTCATGCATGAAGAAGCTGCAAATCATCAAAATTTATATAAATTTTCACTGACTAAGTATCTCGAATCAAGCATGGCTTCCAAGATAATATTTTCTCCCATGAAATAAATTAGCATGAGTATAGACAAGATATGGGAGAGAGGGGAGAAAATGTAATTATGAGGTTGCTTACCTGAATGTGAGATCTTCAGACTAATTTTTGGTTGAGCCTTAACGTTCTAATATATAGATATCAGATTACTGCAATTTAGAAAGGTAGAATAATGCTGTAGATGCGCGAAAGGGACAGCCGACAAAATATTTCGGTATATTTCATGATTTTGAGACTTTTTCAAAGTTATTAGAAAGATAAGGGCGCAGAAAACGTTAATTTAAGATTTTAATTGAAATTCAAATTATGCCTTCAACAATAAGTGTTACGCAAAATGGACCAATAACTTATTAGACGATTTCAATGTGGACAGAGGTTTCCGTTAGCTCTGTTCGAGTCTCATTCTTTTAAAATTTATTTTCAATCACACATGTTTTTAATAAAATAATTTTACACGCAAATGCAAAATCTTTTTAATGGTACAAAGAGCACGCAATTTGGCCTTGAATGAATAGGAGTGATTTAAGCGGAATTCAAGAGGGAATATTCTTTTTCATTTTTGGCAAAAAATATTTTAAAATTGTTAAAATGACATCTTACACAGTTACACTTTTCGTCAATCTATCATTAATATTATTTTTTTTTAGCATAATTCATCCTCAATCTTTCAATTATATAAAAAAACTCATCATTTTCTCCATTATAACCATTAATAGATTTATCATCCTCTTTAAATATTTATCCCAAAATAGTGATGGCAAAAAAATCCGTCCCGCCTCCACCCCAACTGGTTGGTGGGATGGGGCAGGGCGGGGAGGGGGTGCCCGACCCCGAAGCGCCCCGTGAAAAATAAAAAAGAAAAATTAAATACAAATTAAAAACAAAAAATAATTAATTGAAAGTTTTTGAAAAAAAAAAACATAAACGGGGCAAACCCGTGCCCCAAACCCGCCCAGCCCCACCTCGCCCCATCTAAAGTGGGGCGGGGCGGGGCGGGGCGTTGCCACCTCTATCCCAAAACCACCGTAGTAGACCAAACCACCGTAGTAAACCAACACCGAAAGTGACACTTCACCTATATTTTGGCGAGCTCAAAAGCCCTAATCAAATGAGAGCCCGTCCATCGTACATTTGCAAGAATCCAATCATAACATAAATTGTACATATTTGGTTTGAGAATCTTTAACTTTTTTACCTCTATTTAAAGTAAGTGATATCAAGCCCCTGTTTGATCTACATTATTATCTCATTAAAATGAAAAATATGACCGTTATCCATCATATCAATATTTAAATTCAAATTTTCTATCTCTTATGTGGACCCTAGTAACGACTATATTTTTCATTTTCATTTTACGATAATTTGGCTTAAACAGGGCCTAAAAGAAGAGGCGATAATGTATAAAAAACCAGGTCTTTATTGACTTTGCTAACTAAAAATCTTCGTTTCTTAATGAATTTTTATAGAATTCATCCAATAATCTAAAGCTTTGTCAAACGTTTGATACGACCGCACGTAACATTGCACCATTGTATATTTTTAATCACCGCCTAATTTTATCTTAATCGTGAATTTCACTAAACTTTTAATATTTAAAATTTCTAAATAACCTAAAGAATACAAAACATTATTACAAAATCACATGCAAAGCTTGTGTCCCTAACTAGTATATTTTTGTTGTTTCGAAAGCACTGACATCACTAACAAAAACAATAATGTTGAATGTAAAAAATTATTAGTGTATTGTTTTTATCGTCTAGTTAATCAAAATCGTTTATGTTAGGGGTGTTTGATGTACATTTTTGATAAAAGAATACATTTTATGATGTGATGTGACGGAAAATGTGTTGTTAAAAAATAAAGAAATTTTTTTGAATTTGTGTGTAATATTATTTTATTAAAAAATGTACGGTTGAAAATAAATTTTGAAAAAAAATGAATTTTGAGAAAAATGTGGATCAAACAGGACCCAAATAAGTCATCATTTTAAAATGTGCTTTTATAAATAAATGAAAAATGAAAAAAGTAAGTGTTTGGGAAGCGATTAAATTTTACTCTTTAAGTTTAATTAAAATTTATTTTATTCATATATTTATAAGATCCACAACTATTATTAATTTAGAGAGTTATTCTTCTTGTACATCAAGTGCTACATAAGGGTGTCCATAATGGACATTCGGAGCCCTCTCATTGGATGGAGTGCTGACCCCACCAATCATCCCTCCAATGAGGAGGCGCCGGGTGTCCATAATGGACACCCTAATGTAGCCTGTGATGTAGCTGTAGCATCACCCTAATTTAGAATAATAGGTTGTGCTATTTGTACACAATGATTTACACTCCTCAAGGGGGCCACCTAACAGATCTTCGCAGTTTCCACAGTAATCAAACTCTTGGCCGAAATCCACGCGTTCCCTAAATCAATCTGGATCGTCCACGTGTACATCGAGCTAGTTGTACCGCATAATTATATCTTTTCTTTAGCGCCAAAATTTCGAGCCTTTTCACGGCTCTCCCTTCGAGTAAGTAAAGTCCTCTCCAGTGCCTTTTCTCCAATTCGCTCTAGTGTCCATCATAATCGCAATAAAACCGCGATTCATCATCCAGTCGAAAGATAAAGAGAGTGATTAGTTAGGCAAAATGTTATTTATGATTTAAAAGATTGACAACACTGCACTGAATTGGAGATTTAGTAACGGGAGAGAAGTCGTCCTGAATCCTACGACTCCGAACAAATGTCACCTTCTGACCAGAACTTCAAGTCTCATCCGTCCAATCATACCCCATTGCTCATCCAACCGTCCATTTTGTGCAAACTGAAATTTCAAACTAGAGTATAAAGAGAATTCTACTTAAATATAAAACCTTACGAACTATCAGATTAAATTCAAATCCCTGTTTGAAAAATCTTAACCCATTATCTGTTTCTTTTTAGAACCAAATCTTGATTGATTTTTGGCAAACAATTTGAGGTATAAGAGAGTGGCCAACAATTTTGAAGAATTTTTTTCATTTTTAAGTACAAGAGCGTGAAAGGGCAGCTTCTTAAACTAAGAATTGGAGAGATTTTCATGTAATTTTCGCAAGAAAATGTTGTAACTGGACTTGACTGCATGCAATTGGAGAAAAGTTTATTTTGTTTTTCATTTACAGATTCGATATTTTGAGTGATGGAGCAGAGTGAAAAGGCGTCACCGGCGCTGAAGAAGGCTGAGTTTTCGGCAACGAAGAAGCAGTTGGATTTCACGGTTAATTTTAAAGCCTCAATGCTAGATTCGGGAGCGAGTTTCAATGGGATTATGATATTGCCGGAGCATCCGCAGGCTCAGTTACAGTCCAAGTTGCTGGCCTTAGCGCAGCCAAAGAAATTGCATGCCGATGCAAGGTCTCAATTGCCGCCGACAATGGTGGCACAACTTAAATCGCCGCCAGGAACAGTGACGCCAGTAGCACCGCGGTTGGCTCGCCCGGTGAAATCGATTCCGGTGCCTCGGCATAAATCTGCAATGCTTCCAATAGTGTAAGGCCTTCGGTTTTATGAGCATAATTTGTCCCTACTTTAATTGTCGTTTTCGCTTTGCTGTTGGGATTGGGTTTTGAATATTGACGGATTAAAAGTGAAAGATGAAATTTTGGGCATCTGTTTTTTCGCCGTTTAGTGAGAATATGGTACATAGAATGCAAACGACCCGTTCCAGTTTTGTCACAGCCTCATTTTGAAAACTATGAGTGCCCGTTGCCCATGTCGAGCCTTTGATGAAAAATCATGCTTATGAGGCACGCGTTGAAGAACTTAAATAACCTTTATGAAGTATTGAACTATAATTTTACTGGAAATGTGTAACTACAATTTAATCGTGAAGATAAGTGCATTTTTGCTTCTTCAGGAAGGTAGCATCTCCAAAATCACGGGAACGGTGTGATATGGAGCAAATGGAGGGCACTCCAAAGAAGAAAAAGCAATGCAATTGCAGAAGTTCACGTTGCTTGAAATTGTAAGTACAATCCTCATTTGATTAGCAGCTTTCTTTACATAAATTTTGGCAGTGGGGAGGTATATTCACTTATTCTCTTCTATTGAAAACCTGCATTCATCTCAACCACATCATTTGTGAAAAAAGAGCAAAAAAATACTCTTGATGACATATCTGATATGAAGATAACTTCCTCGCGGTTTTTTACTTATTACTGTCTGCCTCCTGATAAATCTCAAGGTGAGATTCTAATTTAAATAAACTCAGAAAGTTTTGTTCTGCCTTTTTTGTGTGTGCTACCACATCCTGTCCCTTAAAATTTTCATGTTTGGACCATGCATGTACAGATAAATGTACATCTCGATTCTAAATAATCGCGTAACATGTGTTATAGACCCTTTTCATTCTATTTGTACTTCTATTATGACTTTCATCTTTCCTTCCTTTTGCCCTTTCATTTTTTTATTTTCTTTTTGTCTTTTATGACATGTCTTAATTTGAACTTGGTTGGCTGTAGAGAGAATGGATCATAGAAGGTGCAAGATGTTCTTCCATTCCTTTACCTGTTTCTATGCTTATTTGCCAATCTATGCTTGTTTAGCGGGACTGTGATCAGTATATTCAACTATGCCTTGCACCTAAATATCAGATCAACTATTTTAATAGATGATGTTAGTATAAATATTCTCGTTTGTTAAAACAATTGTACAGATTTCAAAATAAGCCAACATTATTGACCAACAGGTACTGTGAGTGCTTTTCTTCTGGGACTTATTGTGATGGATGCAACTGCTTCAATTGTCACAATAACATAGAACATGAGTCTGATAGAAAAGATGTAATGGATGTAATTAAAGAGCGAAATCCAGAGGCCTTTAAACCAAAGATTGCTAACAGTCCACACAGAGCCAGAGACGGTATGGTATGTAACTTGAGGCCTCAATTTATGAAGCTTTTTTTTTTTTTTGTATGTATGAATTTGAACTCTTATGGACTCCATATCATTCCATATGTTGCGTTAAATTTATTTGCAAAAACGAAGTTATTTTATACGTGTAACCTAAACAGCCAAATTTCATTTAACAACCTTACAGGTTTTGCATATTTTTTGTACGGATTTCCTGAAATAATATTATTAATTTCCTGGTTGAATATCCATATTAACAGACAACTAACCATTATGTCATCCTTTCTCAAGCGACTTTGTTTGATTATGTCCACTCATGTGCATTTTTGTTTGATGAGAAGAGATGGCTGAAGCACTGATGTGAAGCTCATTAAAGCATCATTTTTATTTGCAAGCTCTCTTTCCACTGGTTTAAGCTATCTATCACAGTCAACCTTTAACTACGAAAGTGATGATGCACAAAATGTATTCAATTCACAGATACTGAAAATACCGTGCCTAATTTCTAGTTTTTGACAATATGAAGCAATATTTCAAGTATCATCAAAGAAGATTTTTGAGGAGAGTTGCCTTTCTAATTCCATCAGAGACAGAAAAGATGCTACTGCTGTAACAAGTCTTATTCTACTTGAGTATTTGGGTGTAATTTTTTAAGATATTCATCTCTTCTCCTAAAAAGGTAAAAAAGGAAAAGTCCAAAAGATGAATGTCAGATTAGTAAGAAGTATAACATTATGGCAATTATTGTTCTTAATTGTCATCGTTATGTTTATATATTTTCATTTTGATTGTTTAATTTATATTTGCTTGTTTCTAACTGTCTCAAAGAAATCCAGGTAGAGGGAGGTGAGGTTACAATGGAAAGAAAACATAACAAAGGATGCAATTGTAAAAAGTCTGGATGCCTCAAGAAGTACTGCGAGTGCTTTCAAGCCAATATTCTATGCTCTGAAAACTGTAAATGCCTCGACTGTAAAAACTTTAAAGGAAGTGAAGAGAGAAAGGCTCTTTTTCATGGACATCCTACGGATTCTATGACTTGCATGCAACAAGCAGCCAATGCTGTCATTAGTGAAGCCATTGGGCTATCTGGTTTTGGATTATCACAGCGCAAGAGGAATGGAAATCAGCGGATTGTTTTTGGGTCGATAACTGATAATCAATCCAATAACAGGGTTTCACAAGTTCATCAGGTGCATATTTGGATATATTACTTTTTGTTACTTATAAGTAAAAAAGGATTATTTTGAAAGTAACTCTTACATTCTTGTCAATGAGTGACTTATTTATAACTTTAACCAATTAAAAGAAATGTTTATTTTTTAACTTACTTATTTACTTGTATCTGAGCCTTTTTAAGCTTAGCCAAACATGCAAATCATCTTTTTCGCGGTCTCAATTGTGAAGAGAAGATAGAACATTGATATTAAAGATTGAACTCTTATCATATTCAATTGCAAGCTCAACAAACTGTTCAATGATAGCATTACCATGCATTCGATGAGGTATCAACCCAATAGAACTAATTGCATGTTTAGCTAAGCTTAAAAGTTATTTAGTTACTTTCAAGCAACTTTGTTTCCAAAAATGTTGTTACTTTTTCTTAAAAGTAGAAAAAGTTACTCATTTTGAAATTAACTCTTTCTTTACTGTTAAAATAAATAGCTTACTTATTTCCAATTTAATATTTATACCAATAAAAAAAATCATTTCTTTGAAAACTGATTTACTTATTAAGTAAACTTTTAAGCTTTTAGACATTCTCAACATATTGTTTTCTGTTCATTCAGGAAACTTGCTTAACTTCAGGTGCCTCTTATCCCACATCATTGGTTCACGCATCTGGACCTGATTCTACAACAGTGTTCAGACTTTCAAAATCCTCTTATAGGTAATATCTTTTTTTGAATTTTTGGTTATAGATTTAATTTTGAATTTAAATTATTCCACTTATTTCTTCTTCCACTGGTAATAAAAGTTATGAATAGTCGCACTATTACTTCGCCTTTTGAAACAAAACCATGACTGGTTTCTTATGATTTAAAGGTCTCCTCTAGCTGGAATTCTCCAACCACGACATGTTGAGGAATTCTGCACACTTTTAGTCGGAGTATCAGCAGAAGCTGCAAAGTCTCTTTCAGGTAAATTCAAGCTTTAATAATCATTTTCGCTTGCTTAATCTCATCTTTTCTAAAATGGTTGTGTAGACCAGAGTAGGAAAATTTTAATTATTTTATGCGAAAAAATGCTGGGGAGAGTGCATCCATTCAGTAGTGTTTGGCACCAAAAACTGGTCATGCTAAAATTTAAAATCGAAGTTTTTGGTTTTAAATTTACATTTGAGATTAAAAGTGCCCTCCACCGTGTCTCAACGTGATCTTAAGTAGCCTTAGTTTGTTGTTTCTATGTTATTGTTCACATAACTTTTAACTCAAAATACCTTCACAATAGATGTTCATAGAAGGCCAGGCTAGTTTATATCTTTGTTTGCAATTTATTTTATATGTAATTGAAAGACATCACTGAGAAGCAACTTGATCAAGAGAGTATGTTTTGGACGCAAAAGGGCGCAAAAAGATGTCTAGTCTGACCATTCTAAAGATGGGTTAACTGAAAGATGGCCTTGTAGAAGCTAGAGGTTGAAATAGTTTTGGTCATAGAATCTATTCAAGTTTGAGAATACGCAATGATGAGTTTTCAGATGAATTTACTAATTGTCCTCCCTGAAAAATATGAATAGACAAGGATCTTAATATCCTAATTTTTCTTGCATTTCCTTCTATGAAGCATGATCACTCTTTGGACACTTGGAGACAATGAAAATCAACATAACACATGAGAAAAATTGTAGGAATTTGAGGTTGAATTAGTTTAGATTTATTACTGGCAATTTTTAATGCACGATTAGTTATATTTTGTTTTCGCCGGTGATACAAAATACAACTGCCACTCCTCTTATTCAAAACATTTTACTTCTAAAATCAAAATCAAAGCTAAAAAGAGTTGATTTTGTTAAAAATAAACAAGTAAAAAGATAAATATATAACATGTATAAATGCATCATTTTCATGGACATGTTCGTGTTGTGTCCATGACCGTGTCCATGCTTTACATATTGCCTTAGTAAAAGAAGTGGTCTGTACACCCTAAACCTCCTATCAGTTTTTCTACCTTCATGTGACTAGAAAAAATGGGATGGATACATCCCTTGTGAAATTTAGGCTTTACTTTTTTAATCTTTTGTATTCCGGGTTTTCAGAAGAAAAGAGAACAAGCAATAATGACAAGGCCACTTTGGATCAAGCTGAAATTGCAGACGTGCAAAAGCAACCCAGTGCTCAGGAGTTGCCCGGAAACCATGAAAATGGAGTTCAAACTTCCTTATCAGAGTCAACTACAGGTGAATTTCAGAATGATCGGCCAGTGTCTCCCGGAACACTTGCATTAATGTGTGATGAAAACGATCTCGTGTTCACTCAAATCGACATTCCATCTAGGATTTCGGGATCCAATACAAGGACTACTATGAATTTGCACGGGTCAGACTACTTATATTCAGAACAAGAAAGACTTGTATTAACTAGGTTTCGTGGTTTTCTCAACAAACTTATCACTCGTGGAAGCATAAAAGGTGACGTCGCGTCTTCTATTTTCCCAACTTCACTGTGATGTCTAGTAAATATTAAAAAAATGGGAAATTGGGTTAACTATGTTAATGTTCACTAAAACTTCTAGCGAAATTTAATGTTGGTTGGTCACTAAACTTCATTTTGTTATAAGTTATTTACTGAACTTCGATTTTGTTGCAATTTGGTCACTAAGTACATTAGCTTGACTACTGACATAGGTGATGTGGCGGTTGAGTTATTTTCCGACTAGGGTGCCTACTAGACTGTCACTTCATCTTTTTCAATAGTTTGACAAACAGAAGAATGACCAAATTGTAACAAATTTTTAAGTTCGGCAACCAAATGGTAAGAGTGATCCAAGTCTGTTAACCAACTTTGAATACGTGAAAATTTGCTAAAAGTTCCACGACGACAAGCATTTTTACTTCCATTTTGAATATGTTTAAGTTTCAGTTTTTACATTCTCTTTCGTGCGTGTCCATGTCTAAACATGTTCAAACGTCTGCGCGAATCAGCAGTTTTTATGCTTTTACAGTTTGAAAATCTGTTTGTGATTTATACTACGTTGTTAATTGTATTGGATCGTGTTTCACATTGCAGAAACAGAACTAGAACAGGAAGCCAAAAAGAATCTTTGAAGCATGGTGTAGACGAATACAAGACATGCTAATCACGAGGAGTCGAGGATCTTAGAACTAACGGGGTTGTGAAATCTTTTCTTCTAGCTCGTCTTATAACGTTTGAGCATGTTATTACAGTAGTCACTTCTAAGTTTTGAAAACTAGGAATAACAAGACCAAGAAAAATCATTTTGAGTTCTTTTATGTTGGTTATTTTGATGAGTAATGTTATTCAATAGTTGTCGTGCTATACATATGGCAGTCTGTCAATGCATCAAATAATAAACTGTCATGTACATGCCACGTAGGGCGACTATCGATAGTCTTCGTTATTAATAACAGTAATCTATTTTGATTGTATAGTCCTATAAATTATGGTTGATGTAGAATGACATGTTTTTGGGAGTTCCAAGATGTTTAAAGAATCTGTATGGTCCTTGACAATAAGTGAAGAGGCCTTCAAGGCTACATAACTAGATGAGTAAATAGGGTGCCTAAAAAAAATTTTGGTTCAGCAGTCGGGGCTTGCCCAGATGAGAGCTTCTACACCACTCAGGGTGACCGTGCTAATCCCAGACGAGAGCTTCTATGCCATTCACAGGATGGCCGTACGCAGGCTGCTTTCTTGGGATTGACTCAAGCTTATATATCTATTTTGAGTATGTGAAACTGGTGGCAAAATCATCTCCAGGCACCTCACTCGACTACAGGCATGTGCCAATCTCGACAAAAAATAGCTCAACCAACCAAAAAAATAGGTTCAGCACAAAGTCGAGACACGATCAAATGATAAAATAAATTTATTACTTTTTCAGTAGTCAAAGAGTTGAGATACATTCCTGGAATATATAGGGCATCTTACAATCATAAATTCAGAATACAATAACGAGTATTGAAGCGCAAGGGTAGGACAGTGTACTAGAAGGCTGCAAGGGGAACAAGTTTCTGCAGAAACTAATAAACTTGGTAGTAAATAGATCCAAGAGCGAACAGTTAATCGAAAGATCAGATTTCACATCCCTTCACCCTTTCTTAGGCATGGCCGCGAGTCTGGTATACATTCTTGCCATCGACTGGTATCCTCTGGTATCGCCAGAGCGAAGAAGATTGCCTGGGAAAAAGCAAGGACGAAGTATGAAATCCATTCACACATCTCAAGAAAAAAGATCAAAAAAAGAAAAGGAAAAGAGGCAAAGAAAATTGGCTTGTTTACCAACCAATCATATCTTTTGTATATTTAGGTACGGGAAATGAAAAAAAAAAAGACACAACACTTTGAGAGTTCTCAAGTAAGGGGTCAAGTTTGTACGATACAGATACTAAATATTATCGAGTAAATCAAATAATCACTTAAAATTGCAACTGAGTGCTTTCATAATATGTTCCATTGTATTGCCTGTTTATAGCTTGAGAAAGGGAGAACCGAACCCCAAACCAACAACACATACACTGAATAAGCATATAAGCACACTAAAAGCAAAAAAGAACGTAGATTATTAACAGTAAAAGGCACGAATACACAGCAAAATAGCAACAACAAATTAGAGGGGAAATGAAAAACAAAACTGCAAAAGAAAAAAGGAGTGGTTATGGAGAACCTATGCCTTGAGCTATTTCTGCCTGTGAAAGCACCATTACTGAAAATGTTATAGAGGGGAACAATAACTGCAACGGTGATTTACAATGATAGCTAGCAAAGGATAAAATATATAAAATGCAAAAGGAGATAATTATGGATACTAAAACTCTTTAGCTGTACAGAGTATAAAACTTAAAATTTCAAATAATTCCAACGAAAAAAAAAAAATTGGTTTTGAAATCAAAACCACAAGAACTCTCTGGACTTGTATATGCTCCAGAGCGAGATAGAGAGAGAAAGAGAGTGTTGGTTCACCAATGCGAGGCTATAGAGTTGAAAAGATAAACATTATTTCCACCAGGTAGAGAACGGAATTAGACTTAGCGATTACCAGAATCACAGTTTAATGGACTATCAGGTTCTGGATGGGCCATCAATGCAATTATAGCCCGACAAACAGACTGTAGCGTCCAAGCTGGACTCCATGCGTTCTTCAAGATATCAAGGCATATTTCACCAGTCTGCAAAAAGAAAAAGCAAACTAGTTAATAACAACTAAACGAACCGTAACCACCCTTCCTACCACACGCGCGCACAAAAAAAAAAAAGAGAGAGAACCAAAACAAAAGAAGATCTAAGCATTATCAGCAGTGCTACGTCATCATCTGACAACAATATTTTCTCAATTCTACATTGTTGATAAGAGATTGAATCAACTACATAAACAATCAATATGTCAGCAGAATCTCAATCAAAACTCCAACTAAATTACTTAGTTTTCTTAGAGTGATAGATGTAATGTTCCACAAAGAAGCACCCCACCACCCTTTGAGTTTGTGTGGGTGGGTGGGTGGGTGGGGGGGGTTCACTGGTGCCATTGGTAAGTCAGGATCCTCTACACTGAAACCATCACACCTGTTTGGGAAGAATTAAGGATATTTATTGTGCCCTAATGCATTTAATCCAACTATTTATTTCCTTGTAATGGCAGTGCAGTATCACTGTCAATAGTGTGTCAGCATGCATTCGAGTGAACTACATGAACCCAGTTCCTTTGATTGACAAATACCACTCATAAGCCAATTATATTTATCCATTAATCATAGTGGAAACGTCAATAATGTTAATACTAGATGAATTGTATTTTCACTCTTCGATCTCTTAACATGGTCATTGCACTTACAGGGCAAAAAACAAAAAAAGAAAGAGAAAAAAAAGAAAAGAATTACCTTAAAATGTACATTTGGATGGAAAATTTTGGTTAAGAATCGCACTTGAGGAGGCTGCAAAGGATACTGCTCAGGAACGGTGAATGCAAGTTGGAAAACTCCACCTTCGTAAGGAGTTTCTAACGGCCCCTACATACACTAAAGAGTTGAGCAACACAACTGCTGCTATGCATTTCCCCAAAATAAAAGGCAACATAATAAAGCTCCCTAAAGAAAACAGAATCTTGCCTTTATAAGAGCTGTCCATTTAAATATGTTCGAATCATCACAAACAATTTGAATATCGGGATCAGCTACTTTTTCTCTCTGAACTTCTTTGTATTCCTTAAAAAGCCTTGCCCTTGATGCCTATTTACAAAAAAATGCTCATTCTTAAAAAAGAATTACAAAGGAGATACTAATATCAGCAATAAAAAAGAATCAATGTTACTACTTCGAGAACATCAAGACCTGAAAAATGTCACTCGAAGTGGTTATGAAAATTGTTCTTCAATTTTAACCCAAAGGCCACATGCTCCAAATTATCTTTTCACTTTTTACCATTATTTTAAACTGCACTTAGGGGCCTTTGAAGCCATTGGCAAAGAAAGGAGCTACAGACACGGAATCACCGATTAATCATTTCTAAAGATTTGTGGTTACACTCATTGACAAAACAATCAATAATTAGCTGTTTATAAAATGGAAGTCAAAGGCTGATTTGCTTTTAAGGCTGATTGCTAGTTGGTTCCATAAATTGCAGCAGATTTTTAGAATATCCCATGATTGCAGGTTAGTATTTTTAGGAAGTTAATCTTTTCCACTTACTTTAAATCACAAACAACTATATTTTTAAATAGAGACACGACTTTGTAATATAACTAGATATAAACATTCATCTTCATGATATCAGAACCCATTAATCTCAAACAAGCAATTCTACCTGATTAAGAATCAAAATGAGCAAATGAAAAATTCTGCCAGATCAATACTCAAAAAACTAGACACGCAATTTCGAGATGTGTGTAATACCTTATCTAATTAAACTAGTCAACACTTAAAATTTGAGGTCAAATATGTCATGCTAGAGAAAAAAAAAGAAGAATTGGAAGCAAACAAATTTGAAGTCGGTCGGTGGGTGACTTTATGTATTAAACCAATTATATAATCAAATCCATTTCATTCAATTCATAATATACACACAACACATATATATAGAGAAGCCAAGAACGGAGAGAAAGAAAGAAGAAAAGGAGGAGGAAGAAGAAGAATAGGAAAGTTCGGCAACAGGGTTGGGAAATAAGCGATTTCTCTTACTAAGCTTGAATTCCTCAATTTCAACAGGTAAGTGAAGAGTGACTTATTCAAAAGTTAATGTTAAATTTTAGAGTTGTCAAATTATTAGTTTAAGTTCACTTTTATTGATAGGGAAGTATTGAATGATGTTGAAGTTGTGAAATTAAGTTAAAAGGAAAGAAAAGAACAGATTAAGTGATTAAAGGAAATGGGAAAATTGCTCGAGTGTATAAATCTTAATTATTGGAGTTACTTAAAATGGTTAATTGTTAATATAAACAATATGTCACATTTTAGGCGGCTATATGGATATCAAGACAGCTTATCGGCCAAGCTAATCGCCACGTAAATAGCTTGTGAGTGGAAAAACTTAAATATTTTTGAAGTATTGATAAATTAATTATAATATTATACATTTTATGAAATTATGTGAATTACTTGTCCAATTACATAATTAATGTAGAAATATTCTTTTATTATGATATATGTGAAATTTTAAAAATTTTATATGGATTATTTGTGACTAGGAATGTGAGACCGACTAGAAAAGTACTCATGATTATATAATTCTAATTCACTGAGGGGCATTGGTCGTGTTCTATACTACACTGAGGGGTCTTGACCGTTGATGGAAAGGTTTTGACTGTGTACATATAGTTCACTGAGGCCTTAGCCATGTTCTACAATTGATTGTGATTGAGACTACTTCCGTTCACTGAGGGGGCCCGAGTGAGCCCGAGGCCGTGTAGGGAATGCTTGGCCCAGGGACAGTCTACATGCGTATGACCAGATTACAAATTTCAGTCAGATGGTACATTTTTGCTAGATTTTTCGATACATTTTTTTCAGTACTGGACTGGGCCGGGCTGGGCTATAGCCCGAAGCAAATTGGCTCGTAAAAAATGAAAAACTTTAGCCCAAATTCATGGTAAAAAAAAAAAAAAAAGCCATGCCCTGCCCCAGCCCTAGCCCAAAAGCAAATTGGCTTGCAAAAATTGGAAAATTTAGCCAAATTCATGATAAAAATAAAAAAGAATGAAAATTTAGCCCAGCCCAAAAATTAATTTTAGCCCAACTAACTTCATTCCCAACCGCAGCCCAATGTTCAATTATTCAAATTTAATTTTAGCCTCTACAACAATTACAT